GTACTTTTTCTTTTTTGTATTTCAGATGTGCAAAAAATCTAAGTGGATCGTTCTTGAACACTAATGGTGGTATTAATGGTGTATTTGGACTTGGTATGGACAGTATATCTGTACCTAGCATTTTAGCTGACAAAGGTGTTGTAGCAAATTCTTTCTCCATGTGTTTTGGCTCTGGTGAAATCGGAAGAATTGAATTCGGAGATAAAGGAATTCGCAACAAAAAACAACTCCCTTTAATCTTCAACAATCACAGTAAGCAACAAGTGATCAATCCTATGCTTTTTCTTCGGTTTTATTTTTTCCATATTCATTTATCTTCCCATCTTTTTTCGCAGACCGACTTATAATATCACTGTGACAAAAATTGGTGTGGGTAATAATGTCACCGATCTTGAGTTCACCGCAAATTTCGACTCGTCCGTCGCATATACACACATCACCGACCCAGCTTACTCGTTTATTGTAAACAATGTAAGTTAACTATATATAATATTCTTATTCTTAGCCTGTGAAAGTATGAGCTCTGATTCTACTTTCTTCTTTTGCAGTTCAATTCTCGAATAACCGAGAAACCTTATAAAATTCCAGGCGAGACTAAGCTGAACTATTGCTATGATCTCGGGTTTGTTTAGTTTCTCAACAACGTAACCTCTTATGTATATATTTTCTGAATCATCACTTTTGCCTCATGATTTATATATGTTGCCTACAGTGCAAATGAAGAAGGGTATATAACCCCAAACTTGACCTTCACAATGAAAGGTGGAAGCAAATTTAACGTTACGAAACCAACGATTGAGTTTATACAGAAGGTGAGAAATTCTTAGTCGATAAATTTATGAGAAAATTACATCGAAAAAAATGCTAAGATTTGTATTTACATCCAGGGAGGAAAGGCATATTGTCTGGCTATTGTCAAAAGCAAGAGTGTTAATGTCATTGGACGTGAGTATTCGAACCGTTTATTAAATTGTTTGCTTGCTTTTCACCATTTGTTTCTTTAAATTGCATTCCATATCCTTTACATTGTAACTATGCATACATCCAAAATACGTAGATACGAATTTGAGTGTACAACTTCTTAAAGTTTCGTGTTTCGGGCACTCGAGCACACATGCCGGACAAATTATGGACTATTTTGCAATTTCTAGAAGTTATAAACATGTTTGAATAGCAAATTTTTAAGTATCTTTGTTGCTTCCTTAATTATTTACACGATTAAATGATCAATTGCAAATTGATAGTTGGCAGTAAAATTTATTTTGAATATGCTTGTATGAAAAAATATAAAAGAATTTATATAATTAAACCCCTATAATTTTATTATTTACACGTTTCCCCGAGCTTCCGTATCCTCATTTTTGAAATATGCTGATTCCTCATGTCCGTTTTCCTATTTCCGCGTATCATCGTTTCCGTATCCGTGCTACCACTACAACAAAAAACACATCTTAGGAAACCTTCCATAGGGCAGTTTTTGATAAATGTCCCAAAATTAAGTTTTTTATAAATGTCCCACAATTCGCTCGAACGAGATCCCCTATTGTTGATGGTGTTCCATCTAATATTTCAAATTCAACAATACACGTCCATGTATAAAACGACATTATCACTACGCAACTCGTGCGTATGTGATTTTATCTGATAGTAATGCTGATTTTGTTTCGTCAACTTTCGATATTAATAATGTTGAATTCTTCCCAGAAAATTTTATGGAAGGTTACCGCATAGTCTTCGATCGCGAGGAGATGGTTTTGGGTTGGAAATAATCTAACTGTGAGTTGGTTTTACTCTTTTTTTGCTCTTTTTTAATTCGTTGCACTCAATTTTAAATGCATTCAAAACTATTAATCTCAAGCTATGATTCCATCTTGTCGAAAACTCTACCGCCAAACAAGGGAAACTCCTCTCGGCCAAGTCCACCACCACCACCACCACCGACAAACGGTGTTGGCAGATTGACTAGCGGACTTGTGACGGTGTTAGTTGCCATTTTTTCCCACCACTTTGTCATTCTTTCTTCATGATCTTCTTTCAATATACTTGGAGTTATTTGAGGAATCTATTCACCGTAGTGGAACTTTTATAATACTTGTCAATATTTTGTGTATGTACTAAACATAATTGCAGATTCGACAAATAAACATCTTATAATTGGTTCTACTATTCAAAATTTCGATCGCCGAATCCAATCTTCTTTATATATAAAAAAGAAAAGAAAAAAAAGGATTGAAAATTTCCGGCAGGGTTGGATCTTATTTGCTACTGAAACAGAACTGAAGATCTCCTATCTATGAGATAGTTCTTCGTAGAAAATTAGTAGAGGAAAAAATAATTACACCGTTTGTGCCAGTATTGCACCAACGGCGAGCAAAAGCAATGTTATTAGGTACCTCCAGAACGCTCGACCAGGAACCCCACGTGCAAATTTACATTACGAATACATACCTATTTATATAAGGTCAAATGACAAATAGGCCTATGATAATAAATTTAAATGCATATACTTCCGGACAAAAAACTGTTCCGCAAAAAACTCATCCCATTTCTTTTGCCTAAAATACCCTTCAAATATAATTTTCATTTATTTCATATATTGCACATTAACTCCTGATTTGAACAAATATATCACATTAACTCCATTTTCATAATTTTTTTACATTTTCCTTTTTAGAAAATAAATTTTTTTCTGAATTTTTTTTTGGCCTCATTCCTCCGTTGACTTTCTTTCTTTTTGTCTTTTCTTGAAACTTGTTTTTCTCTCCAAATTACTGTACTAACAACAATTTTTTTGTCTAATTAAGACAGTAATATTGATTGTCAAAACAGTAATATTACTAATATTATTGCCCCGAACGGTAATATTACTAATATTACTGCAAGAGACAGTAATATTACGGCCAGAGATAGAAAAATTGCAGGCCAATATGATAAAACTAATTAATACAGTAAAATTACTGTCTCATATAGTAATATTACTGTTGGACACAGTAATTTAAATATTACTGTCTTAGACAGTTAAATTACTGTCTTTTACTGAAATATTACTGTTTGAGACAGTAATATTGCAAGCCAAGACAATAATAATGAAATTTCTATTTTTAAGTTTTCAGAAGAAAAAAAATAAGTCAGCGGTAATTGACCTGCTGAAAAAAAATTCAGAAGAAAAAAAAAGTCAACGCTGGAGTGCGGCGGTCAATCGCGGCTAACATAGCGGAAAAAAAGGTATTAAAAAAAGTCAACATCGGAGACCAGCGGTCTCCGCCGTTGGCGTTCAAAATTGGTTAATTGGTGAAATTTGGTTAAATTGGAATATAAATCATGAAATTGGAGTTGAATTATGGTTTCAAAGAGTTGGAAGTAATTTTGGTATATATAAAAAAAAATTCTTTATTTGCAAATAAGTTTGGATAAAGTGAATTTATTTGCTAAACAAAAAAGTAAGATGTCCCTTATTTATTTAAGTGCTCTTGTTATGGGCATATTTGTCATTTACCCTTTATAAAACTATAGATTTTAAAATTAGAAGTAGAAATAAAAATTAGTAGAAATTACTCAATTAGAAATATGAGAATATTTTTATACTAAAATTGTAAGGAAATAATTTATTAAATAATTAAAGTAGAAGAAACTTGTATAATAAAAATTGAAACTATGAGACGTTTGTTGTTCTAAGATTGGAAGAACTGAATTTATAAAAGGGTAGATTACGGTCACCCTCCTGAAGTAAGTTCAAATTATGAAGAAAAAAAATCTCTCATATTTCTTTTATTTTTCTTTAATTTGACCTTACCTCAGTGGTGGCCGTAATTTGCCCTTTAAAAATAATGAAAGCAGAATTGTTTTTGGAAAAGAAAAAAAAAAGATAAGAATATGTTTTTAGGGGTCTTTAGCAATAACCTCTCAAACTGCTAAGAAATGGAGATAAACCCAACCTTAAATTCATCATTTGCAATACCCCTAGTCTTTTTTTTACCTGAAATAGCCATCATTTACCTATTGCATTAGTAATTATGTGGACTGCATTTAGCAATTTTGGACTGCATTTTATCATTTCGGACTGCATGTAACATTTATTTATTTTTATTTATTTTTAATATTTTTTAATAACTTCTTTTAATCTTTTTTAAACGGAAAATTGAATTTACAAGTCAACTTGAAACGAGAAGATAGAACATTTTCGAATATGACACCGGTATTTTAAACAATAGTCATATTCAAATATGACTATACTCATGTTGTTGTTACTGCTCAAATCTGAACCTGTACTCATTTTTGTCTTCTCACACTAGTTTAGAGGATCTCACTAATTTAGAATGAAATTTTAGTGTAGACAACAGTTTTTAAAGTTAATTGGGTTTGGTTCAAAATATTTTTCACTTAACGGGTATTACGTATTTCCCCATATTATTGAGAATTGAGATTATAAAATAATAAAAGCAGAAATAAATGATTATAAAAGAAATAGCTATTACAATGAATCTTGTATTTATATTCCATCAACTGCTGACATGTTGACATATTAACTGAGTAATATCTCCCGCCGGTAACTCTGGTTTATGATATATATATATATTTGCCGAGGAGAAAAGTAAGAGTAGAAAGTGCGAAGCTCGTTAACGCCAAGAAGAATTTTGCCAGATTAAGATTAGCATATGCTCTTACAAAGTGTAGACTTTTTTACAAAAAAACATATATATATTAAACAATGGAGCCATGGAATTTGCCTCCATTGTCGTTGACTTTTTCGATTCCAATTTGATATTATGAAGATGATGATGATCGCGTCTTCTTCTTCTTCTTACCCACTCTTTCTCTCTCTACTCTCCAGTTGTATTTGAATTGATCAAGTCAACAGATGTTTCAACTCTCCGAATTTCTCTTTCTTATAATGTCTTGCATTATCTTCAATAATAGGAGGAGATTGGTTTCACTTAATTCTCTAGTGTTTTTATTTTTTTGGGGTACTTTCTTTTTCCAAATAAAGTAATTATTAATCATGTGTTTTAAGAATTCAGTATTTGGGAGTTGTTTGATGCTAGTTGTGTTTGCGTGTTGGTTTAATCCGAAGAGCAGCGATGCATTTGGGACATTCGGATTCGATATCCACCACAGATATTCCGACACTGTCAAGCAATTCTTGAATGATGATGGGTTGCCGGAGAAGGGTACCGTCGAATATTACTCCGCCGTGGCCCACCGCGATCGGCACCTCAAGGGCCGCCACCTCGCCACCTCTACCCCCATCCTCACTTTCTATGGTGCAAATGAAACTCAGCGTCTCAATATTCTTGGATAGTAAGTAGCTATATGATTGCTTTTGTGTTGCATGTACGTTTGTAAGCAGTTCTCATTAGGGGTGGAAATTGGAATGAAATTTCCGAATTCCGCCGATTTTGATCTGAAAATATCCGAATTTGAAACCTTATTTTTCATTTAAAATTTTCGAAATTACGATTTCCAATTTTTCCAAATTTATTTGAAACGAAATTAGAATGGTATATAAATTACGAAAATTCCGATTTCCGATCGAATTTTAGTTCCTATTATTTGTATGGTTTTTCAAAATATATAATATAATTTTATGATATATTTTGTGATTCCATAGTATAACTTATGATTCTAAGGTTATATATAATTTTATGATATATTGTATTTTTATTTATAGCGTCTTGTCGAATTCTCTTTTGAATTTTCTTGCATTTTCATTCCAAATTTCAAAAACGATAGAAAAATATTGTTGAAAATTCCCCGAATTTGGAACAAGAGATTATAAATCAATGTAAGTTCCGAAATTTCCAAAATTCCGCCTATTCCGTGGCATTCCGAAACCAAGACTTGTGTTGAAACATCATCACACTCTTGTTCTGCTTATTTGCAGCTTGCATTATTCACTTGTTACTGTGGGTACCCCTGCTTTGACATTTATCATGGCACTCGACACCGGCACTGACCTATTCTGGTTACCATGTGACTGCACTACGTGTGCACGTAGCTTCAACACCACTAGAGGAGAGGTAACATATTCAATTTATGGGTGTTTAATCGATTTTTTTTTTGTAACATAATTGTTCTTACTTAATTCCAATGTAACAGAAAATCAAACTAGAGATATACAGTCCTAGTAATTCAACAACCAGCACGCCACTTCCGTGTAACAGCACTTTGTGTGGACCCACAAGAGGATGCTCTGCCAGGTTTAATGCTTGTTCTTACCAACAACTACGAGGCAACGCCTCGAGTAGCGGGATATTGGTAGATGATGTTTTGCATTTGGGTACAAATACCAATCCACAAGATCCTTACGATGTCACTATCACATTAGGGTTGGTGCTTTGTGTTCTTGTTGATGTAGGAGAACTGTAACATTGTTAACATGGTTTTTTCACCGCCTATAATTTGTTCCGTAATAAGCTTTAATATATAAATATCTTGTGCTTCAGATGTGGGCAAAATCAAACCGGTTCGTACTTGGACCGTGGTGGTATTAATGGTGTATTCGGGCTTGGTATGGACAGTATATCCGTCCCTGGCGTTTTAGCTAAAAAAGGTGCTATAGCAAATTCATTTTCCATGTGTTTTCGCTTTGATGGACAAGGAAGAATTGAATTTGGAGATAAAGGAAGTCCACTACAAAAAACAACTCCCTTTAATCTTCAACAATCTCAGTAAGTAAATTGTCAGTCGTTTTTTCTATATATATATTTTTTATTTATCTTCCTGGCTTTCTGGCAGCACAAATTACAATATATCTGTAACACAAGTTGTTGTGGGTAATAACGTCTCCAATCTTGGGTTCACCGCAATTTTCGACACTGGTACCACATTTACGCAGTTGAACGACCCAACTTACTCGTTTATTATACAAAGCGTAAGTGACATCACGTTATTGTATTGTCCAGATGTTTCGTTTTTAGCATTCCGATATTCTTTCTTCTTATGCACGCAGTTCAATTCTCAAGTAACTCATCCACGTTACCAACATCAACCCAAGGTTTATTTCGACTACTGCTATTTACTCAGGTCCATTTAATTTCGCAACAACCTTTTAAATTCCGAGCATTTTTATCATTTTCGTGTTTCAATTTTTGCCTCATAATTTATGTTGCCATGCAGTGCAAATCAAGATAGCTATATAACCCCTAACTTGACCTTCACAATGAAAGGCGGAAGCCAATTTAACGTTACTGCACCAACGGTTAGGCTTATACGACCGGTGAGAATTTTTACGGGATAAATGTATGGGAAAATTCATGTGGAAAAAGTGCTAAGATTTCTATTCATATGCAGGGTATAAATGCATATTGTTTGGCTATTCAGAAAAGCGAGGATATTAACGTCATTGGACGTGAGTATTTGTAAACCATATATATATATATATATATATATATCTATATATA